GCAGCGTCAGCGAAAGGGAAAGTGTAGGTACTGATGGAGCGTCTACCAGCGTGCATCACGTCTCCCAGCGTTCGCCAGCGTCAAACAGCGTCCACCAGCGTCTCGAGGGCCTGGGAAGTATAGATATCAATCTAGAGTCTGCCAGCTTGTGCCAGCGTGCACTAGCATCTAACAGCGCTCAAGAGAGGAGAGTATAGCGCGACAGAAGGGTAGCAAAGCAGACTGTTGGTAAAGAGTATGCCGTGATAGGAGGGTACCAGCTGTCTGCTATCCTCCCGTCGCGCCATACTCTCCTCTCCCGGACGCTGGTAGACGCCAGTAGACGCTGACGAACGCTGGGAGACGCTATGCACGTGGTAGACGCTGGCAGATGCAAGACTGATACCTATACTTTCCGAATCGCTGTGGTGCGGGACGCCGAAACGCTAGTGGACGCTGCCGCAAAGTATGAACACAGCCTAAGAAAGCGAAGTAACTCACCTATACCATAGTTATCTAGTATAAGGGTGGTTAGCCTGGAAAAGTCCGGAAATGACGGCAACTCAAGTCCACAAGCATGAAACTGATGTGAATGCGGCCGCATATTCAGGGCGGATAGATTAGGAAGGCGTTGCTGTAGATACGGTAGAACGTGCACCTTTGCATATGGATACACATCGACGCATTTCACATCCAACACTTCAGAGATAGCATCTGAAACTCAAGATTTCAATAACGACTTCCAAAACAAGAAGTCCAGCATTAGCATTCTTCCGCGAAACGCTCTCTTGTGAACCCTTTCCTAGGTCAAACACCGTGTTTCACATCCGAAGCACTACGTTCCTTTTCTGAAAACTGCCTATAGGTGATAACGTCGTAACCAGTCGTGGCGGTGTCAGGAGGGGCGTAATGAATCCGCCTCCGGCTGCCCTTTTCTACCAATGGTGGTCAATTGGTGATCGATTTAGGAAAAGAACAACCAGTGAACGTAAAGGCCTCGAGAGCTTTTATCCCTCTTGAAAGCTCCCCGATTGATTGCGACGTCATCAACAGTACTTGTTTTATACATTTATCTCAATACACCCACAGATACTATCAAAACGTAGAAAATGGGCTCAGGAGTTCAAGAAAACTTGAAGGCATGTTTTGGGACAATCGCATCAGGACACAGCATCGGGATGGGAGAAAGGGCGGTGTAAGACAACTCCATCCCACCTCTCACGAGACCTCCACCTA